GGAAATCACAGAGCTGATGGCAGGGCTGGACCCGGCACCGGCGGGAGGAAAGATGTCAACGGGCTTGTATTCCAGTGGGCATCTGACTGGGGCAAAGCCCCTGATTATTTTCGGAATCCCCTAAAATGGTCAGGATGGACCAAGCTACTTATTAGCCTGTTGCAACTTAGGACCTTTTAACTAATGTCCCCATCTTGTGTCTGCTCTTCTGGTTGTGGAAAACGTAATTCCACAGGCACCGAGGAGGTGACCTACCCGCCGGGTTCTTGTGTTGTGCTGATGTTCTTAAGGCATTTAGCCAGACTTCCTCGTGACCTACCCAGATGGCTCCCAAATGCTCCCTGGCTCTTTGCTAGTAGCTTTCTAGGATTTTGTTCTAGGGTTTTTGTATTTATAAATGTGTTTAGAAGTTTTTTCACTCTTTTTGTTCTTGATGTATGTCTTGGTTCTAGCCCTCAGGCAGAGGAAACCTAGCCCCCAAGCTGTCTGCATTGGAGCATATGAGTTAGGTTGGATCGTCTCGTGCTTCTCTTCATTTAACTTATGAAAGCTCCCAAGCTTTTGTTTCCTGATATTGGTTTTCTTGGTCACATAGGACTCTCCCCTGCCTCCTGCAAACTTCCTCCTTTGGGACATGGTAGAAACCAGTCATTTTCTCTTTTAAAGTGTTTGTCAACTTTTAAATGGTAGTTCCTTTTTAATAACAAAAATGTTTTTCTGCATCTACATCTGCTGCCCTTGTAGAACGTTGTCGTTTCCCCCTGACACTGATATGGGAAGCCCAGGACCATTCAAGTCCCCTGCCACCCCGTCTGGTACTGTACGTATGAGCCTAACCAATGTGAACTTTAGAAAAGAGCTCTGAGGACTGTAGGCTGGTGACCGTGGAGGTTTGAGGATCTGGCTTGGATCTGCATTTCCGTTCTGTTCTGGGTATTAGGAAATACTTCAGTGTGACTGGAGAAAATGAAATGTCTGCTGTGAATTGCGGGTCGGAGTGTTGAACAAGGTTTTCATTCGCTAATGTTTACATACCTCACCTGAAGGACCTTGGAAAGTGTATATAACAAAATAAAATTATATTGAGTTGCTTTAAAACAATACGTGTAACTGTAAGAGCTGGAGTGAGCTGAACTGTCTCAAGTCTCTGAATAGTGACGTCGTGAACTCTGTGCTCCTGTGTTTTATTTCCTGTTAGACTCTGGGAGAAGTTGTGTTCTTGTTACTGGTTAAACTCCTTCAGGATTCCCACCACCTTGTTTTCTTTTATTCCTTAGACACTGTTGATAACGACCCAACGAGCTTTCTAAAGGTCCTGATTTTATTGCAGCTTATTAAACTTCCCTTTGATATCGAAGCCTGCTTGGTGTGGTAACTGGGGGGCGAGTGAATGGGCCTGGGGGGTGTTTGAAGTCTCTGACGTTCCTGACTCCTAGCAGCTCTCCTGCTGGTGCTGCCCCTCAGCCACGCGTCCCGCCCTCACCCACTCCGGGGGAGCTGGGAGTGGTGCTGGTTCCAGGAGCGAATGGCACACGAAGTGCCTGGGGCCAGCCAAGGCCACCGCAATGGCAGGTTGCTCGGCAGGCGATCGATCCCTGAATCGCCAGCAGTGTCCAAGGTAACCCCCGTGGGAGCGGGGCCTCCTTCCCGAGGACATGCCAGGCCCCTGCGGGCGGGGCACGAAGGGAGAACGTTGCAGCTTCTCAGTAAAGCACACGGGGCGCGAGCGCTGGGGTTTTTAAACAGGTGTGAGCGAAAGGGTCCCTCTGCCGTCAGCGAGCAGAGCGTCTCGAATCCCATCCAGCCTGGGCCCAGCCAAGCCCTACCCTGACCGGCCTTTGCTCTCAGCCTGACCCTCCATTGCTGGTAAAACGGCTGGTGGCCCTGAGCTGACACGGGGTGGGAGCCGGGAGTGTCCGACCAGGGACAGGATGGGTTCCCTAGGGAGGTGGTGGAATCTCCTTCCTCAGAGGTTTTGAAGGTCAGGCTTGACAAAGCCCTGGCTGGGATGATTTAGTTGGGAATTGGTCCTGCTTTGAGCAGGGGGTTGGACTAGATGACCTCCTGAGGTCCCTTCCAACCCTGATCGTCTCTGAGTCTATGCAGCAGTGAACAACCCCCTGCGAGCAGCGCGGCCCTGCCTGGAGAGTTTATGGGGGGACAGGGCCCGGCGCGGGTAGGTGCTGCAGACCCACAGCCATTGGCATTCGCACTAGGCCCTGCCCAGGTCACGGTTGGGCCGGTGGGAGTTTCAGGGCCCAGGCTCCTGCTCTCAGCTCAGCACTGCACCGGGGGAGGTCTCTGCAGGGCCCAGCTCCAGCGCACACCCTCAATGACTGGGGCTGTCGGGGGGAGCCTGCAGGGTGCTCCCGTGGGTCATCTTCCCATGGTCCCTTCTGTGCCTCGCCCCAGCACCTCGCCTCATCCTCCGCCCCCAGCTCCCCTCCCGCAGCGCCCGTGGCTACCACTTCATCAGGCTCTGGCTCCCGAAGCTTAGACCCCCTCCTAAACGGGGGCAGGGGCTGCTGCTCCGGCTCACCTCAACTACTCCAGCCTCGTGCTGCTGCCCCGGCTTCTGCTCCCAGCCCCCCGTTTGCCCTCGGCCACGCGCCCCCTGGGGCAGGGGCTGTTCTGTGACTCCAGCGGCTCTGGATGTCCTTTTTCCTCTCACCCCAGCCCCGTGCTCGAGTGGGACCCGCCGTGTGCCGAGGACGCAGCCCGTGGAAAGCGCTGGGAACTGGGCAGCGTTCCACATGGAGCAGGGGGCGCCCTGCGGGCTGTGGCGGGACAGGTCCTGCGTGGGGATCCCAGCGCCGGGGCTGGGCCCGATGCTGCTAGCAGGAAAGATGAGACCAGCCCGGCATCTCTGAATGAATAAATGTCATGTTCACGTGGAAGACAAAGCGACACGATCACACAGCTTCTAAAACAATACTGCCTCTGCTAGACACTGGCCACGCATGGCGCCTCCCTGGCCCGGCTCTACCCAGCACCTCAACGTGCGAAAAACAAACAGGCAAACGAAGCCCTTGTCCTTCGGCTGCGGCGCCGTGGCTGCCACCGAACCGAACTGGCCGCTGGCTTGCCCTGAACGTAGAAAAATACTATAACAAACTGAAATACAAATATATATTAGAATCTGTAAGTATTCTGTATAAAGAGATACTTTAGAGGTTAGGTTACAACGAGCAACAGAAAATGACCCCAGCCTTGGCATCGGGCGAAACACGGCACGGCTCAGCAGCGGGCAGCCGGCGGGCTCAGGACGGGGGGGTGCCCGGGTATTGGTTGGTTGGGCTGGGGCGAAGCCAGCATCAATTAAAGCTCTTGACAGAAATGGCTGCAAAGTGCCCTGATGCCCAAGGGCGGGGGGCGGGACAGCGCCCGTGAACTGGAGCAGTCAGCCCGTGGGCCTGTCTGGGTGCGTCTCAATGGGCCGGGAACCAGCCACCCCCAGGGCGTGGGAGAGCGGCAGGGGTACATCACAAGAGCAATGGCCCCCAGCTGGGGGGCCGGGCGGGGAGCTGTGTTGGCAGCAGGGCGAGTGCCTGGCCTGGGATATCTCCACCCTCTCCCCTCGCAAGCCCCCAGGGACACATTGGTGCTGGGCCTAGGGGATGCTGGGGGGGCCTGTCGCACCCCCGGCAGGACGTGGTTTCCAGTCTATCCAGGCTTTCCAGTTTGGCTCAACGGCTCAGCCACTCAGGACCCCCAATACACACGTTCCAGCCCCCGGGCAGGACTGCCAGGTGCCCGGTTTCTGACCGGAACGCCCCATCAAAAAGGGACCTGGCGACTCTGGGCAGCACCACTGACCGGGCCGTTAAAAGTCGGGGGCGCAGCGGGGCTAAGGCACCTCCCTGCCTGTCCTGGCTCCGCGTGGCTCCTGGAAGCAGCAGCACATCCCCCCTCCAGCTCCTACGCGTGGGGGCAGCCAGGGGCCTCCACATGCTGCCCCTGCCCCAAACGCCAGCTCCGCAGCTCCCATTGGCTGGGAACTACGTCCAATGGGCGCTGTGGGGGCAGTGCGCAGAGCCACCTGGCTGCGCCTCCGCATAGGAGCCGGAGAGGGGGGACATGCCATTGCTTCTGAGAGCTGCTTGAGGTAAGCGCCGCCTGGAGCCTGCACCCCTGAGCCATCCCCTGCACCGCAACCCCCTGCCCTGAACCCCCTCCCACCCTCTAAACCCCTCGGTCCCAGCCCCACCCCAGCGTCTACATACCCAGCCAGAGTTCCCACCCCCGCACCCCAACCCCCAGCCCTGATCCCCCTCGGTCCCAGCCCGGAGCCCCCTCCCACGCCCCTTATTTCTGGTCCCACCCTGGAACCTGCACCCCCAGCCCAGAGCCCTCACTCTCTCCTCCCTCCTCCCGCACCCCAAACCCCTGAACTCATCCCTGGCTCCACCCCAGAGCGCCATGGGGCTGCTTCCTGCCCACCCCAGAGCAGGACTCAACCGGGCCTCCACACTGCGCCAGCTGGTGCCACCAGCCTCACGCGCACTTAGCTGCTGGCCCCCCAGCCACGGGAGGCCCCCTGGTTTTTCGAGTGCCCTATTCCAATGGGGCGCAGGGCAGTGTGGGGTTGGGCCTACAGGCCAATTCCCTCCACACCGCCCCCCCCCCCGGCAGCATGCAGGGCCCTGCGTTGGCGGAGCCTGGCTCGGGGGAGGGGGGCTTAAATAGCCCAGCTGTTCAACCATTCACTGTCCCCACCCCATGGCACACAAACACTAGGGCAGTGACACGGCCCTGTGTTAACTGGGTGGGGGGGGACACCCAGCCTGCAGCAGCTGAGGGGCGCGGGCCCCCCCCGCCCCGTGGCACCCAGCGGCCGACGCAGACGCTCCTGTGGTACTCGGCCCGGCCCGGGGCTGCAGCTCCAGCTCCCCAGACTCCAGCAGCCACAGGCACCCCTGCCCTGAGCCAGGCCCGCTGGTGCCAGCCGAGGGGGGCGGGCGGCAGAGCTGCCTGTGGCCAGCCCAACACTGCTACGCCCACAGCCCAGCGTCACGGCCGCCCTGCGTTTGCCTGGGGCACGTGGCCAGGCCTCCAGCCCAAACACGGACCCTGGCACAGGGGTGGCTCATGCCCTGTGGACAGCGCAGGACTCAACACTCCCATGGCGAGGGGGGCGGGGGGAGCCCAGGTCTCTGGCCACCACGGCTCCTGCGTTGCCCACGAACCGACACTGCTGCTGTTATAGCCAACGTCACGCCGCCGGGACTGGCCTGGCCGCTGAGCCAGGCGCGTCCAGCCACCCCTGGGCAAAGGCAGCAGGCTCGGAGCCCCCACGCGGCCAGGCCCCCGGTCCCTCGGCCGACCTGGCAGCCCCCGTCCCACGGGAATTTATGCAGGCTGGGAGCGGGCGCGGGGCAGCGCGGGTCTGGGGCTGTACAAAGCGGAGAAAGCAAACACAGGGCGGGGGCTGGGCCTGCTCCCCGTGTCCCCACCCACTATAAATACATTTGAGGAGCTGCAGTTTTAAAACACCCTCCCTCTCTACACGGGTGTCCTGTGGTGGCTCACGGCACGTGGCAGCCCCTGCTCCAGGGCGGCTGGGCGGGGCCTGCTCGGACAGCGACGCGGGCTTTGGGAGTCCCGGCTCATGGGCGGTGCCTCCAGCGGCTCCGCCCCTCCGTCTCTAGCGGCGTTCTCCTCGGCGGGCCCCGGCTCTGCCGCCTCCCGCCGCCGGCTGCTACATGCACCGGGCACAGCCGCACTTGCTGGCCTTCTCCACCTCCTCCACGAAGGAGGAGCCGTCGCTGCACTCGAAGGTGAACTTCCTCCGCTTGAGGCGCAGCCCTGTGCAGCAGCCCTGGCCCTGGCAGGAGCCCCGGCACTCCACCCAGGAGACGGGGCGCGTGGTCTGGCAGATGGCATAGCCCCGCTGCACCTGGGGGTGCTCCCGCACCGGCTCGCCCCGGCACTCCGACTCTGCAGGGCCAGAAGGAGAGAGGCAGTCAGCGCCCGGGCGCACGGCGCGGGCTGAGCGCTCGCCGAGGAGCCTGCACACGGGCGAGGCCCCGGCCCTGGGCGCGCTGGCGTCCGGACACACTGGGGCCAGCCCTGGCTGTGAGACTCTTTGCCTAGGCCCAGCCTGGGGGCAGGGGGCCGAGCGCTTCCTGGGGAGGAGACTACGAGGCGGGAGCTAGCACCAAACTGCCAGCAGCAAACGCCACCGGGAGCCCTGCTCCAGGGACGTGGAGCAAACGCCGCCGGGAGCCCTGCTCCAGGGACGTGGGGCCAGACTCACCACGGGCAGCAGTGCTACGCCAGGGAGCCACCGGGCCACTGGCTCCGTTGTGGCCCTGGGCACCTCTCAGCGGGCGGGGCAGGCCCGTCGGAACGGCTTGTCCGTGGGTCTCTGCTGTCCCAGCCACGCCTGGGGCTCTCGGGAGCCGCCCGGGCAGCAGGGCCCAGCCCTGGCCATGTCGGGGCAGGGGCACTGGGGGCCCAGGGCGGGTGGGGCTCTGACCTTGGTCGCACAGCTGGCCGGCGTAGCCGCTCTGGCACTCGCAGGACGCCTCCCCCCGGGCCGAGATCTGGCAGTGCCCGTGCACGCAGGGCAGGCTCTTGCAGGGGTTGTCGAGCTCCCCCGGCTGGCTGCACAGGGCGCCGCGGTACCCGTCGCGGCACTGGCAGCTGTAGGAGAGCGCGTCGAGGGGCACGCAGTCCCCGTGGACACACCTGTGGGAGCAGAGACATGAACCTGGGCAGGGCCGTGGGGTGCCGGGGGCGCTACTGTCTGCCAGGGGCCTTGTCCCAGGGGTTTAGCCATGACGCCGGCAGCCCATCACGGCCTCAGCGACCTGCCGGGACAGCGCCCGCGGAGCAGCCCCTGGCAGCAGCGGGCGTGAGGCCAAACCCCCGCCTCCGTACCAACCCTGGCGCGTCACTCCCAGCGACTCAGCACATCCGAGCTGGCTACGCTGGCTACTCCCAGCCTGCTCCTTCCCCGGCAACGGTCCTGCCGGGCCCAGCTCGGACTCAGCCCCCCGGGGGCCGCGCTGCCCAACCTCAGCCAGGCCTGTCATTGGCTGCACGTGGCCTCGGGGCCCATGCAAGGGAGCACCTGGCAGCACCAGCGGGAGCACGGCACATACGCAGCATGCGCCCGCTGCCCCGTACGCTGCTCATTCCT